AGAGAATGCAACTGGTAGAAGAGAAACAAATCATGAGAACAAGCGAAGTGGGGAGATTTGGGAAGAGAGTAATAACCCTAAAGTGGTGCCGTCAACAGTATTTAATAATTTATTTTTTTGTGCTCTTTAATATACACATGCATGTTACAAATGCACATGCTCAAGCATGCAGAAACAACTTCAGATGTACTTCCCAAGGGATTTTAGAGTTTCTTTGTATTCTAAACAGCATTTAGTACAGTGCTCCGCAGATAGCAGACAAACAATACTGCTGAGCTGAACACAGGAAGTCAAAGTGAGGCTTGGAACATGAGGGGTTTATTTTTGTAAAATAAGTATTATAACAACAAGGCTGTCTCTGGAATATTAAAAATTCTATGATCCTTTCTATACTGAACACAGACATATTTGCAAAAATAAATGTCAATGTTAATACTTTCATGAATTGTTATAAGGTTTCTATGTAACTTATAGACAAACTAGTTTTAGAGATCTGGAAGCTCAGTGATATTGGTTCATTTTTTTTGCTATTCTTCAAAGTTTCCTTAATATTTAAAATTTGTCAGACTGCTTTACATGTCTACCCTGAGAAATGAAGGCTGATTGCCTTAAAGATTTTAGAAGATTACACTTAGAAAGAATACTCAGTTCTCCTAACAATTTTCCTGAATTCAATTAATGGTCTAATTCAGAGATTTTCTTTCTCTCTCTCTCTCTTTTTTTTTTTTTTTAGGAGGTAGTGAGGAATCCCAAGATCCTGCAGAGTGGAGTTCCAGGGCAGGACCTGCCAGAGAGAGGCCTGCTGAGCTGTCAGGATCCATGACTGGAAACCCCCTCTTTAGTCAGAGCAGTACACGTTTACTTCCACAACATTTCTTCTGAAAAATGTTTTAAAACCAAGGTCGAAAGGTGACAACACACTGGGCACAGTAATACGAAGTCCTTTAAGGTCGGCTGACCTTATTCATTGCTTTCCAACTGCTCTTAGTAAATCTTTAGAGGTGTCTCCATAAGTCATCCTGAGGAGGCAGATCCTGAAGGGTGGTTGCCTGAGCATGAGTCTTTTGTCTGACAAGTGACAATGGCTGGACTGAGTCGTATCCATGTTATAACCTGTCCCACCCCTTCCTATTTAACATCCCATTGCAGAAACTGTAATAGAGTCACCAATATGTGGAGTTGCCAAGATACACTTGTTATGTGCCATCGAGTTGCCTGTGACCCACAGCGACTCTGTATACAGCAGCTCTGACCTTGTCCTGTCTGAGACAGTCACACTAATTCCGACACATCAACCCCATTGTCATAGACTTAAAAATATTTAGTTATAGAAAAAGATTTATGATTTATGGTAATATTACTGTAAAAATGAATTTAAATACACACACACATCTCTGGATTTTAGAGTTAGGGGGGAAAATTCTATTTTGTTAAAGTAAGGTTAAAAAAAAAAAAGAGAGTCAGAATGGGAGTTAGAGAGGGGATAATAAGACTGACCCATTATTTTAGCTTCTTTCAGAGTGAAGGTTTAAGAAGAGGGTAAGGAATTTATCAGGAGATAACTTTTAAATTCAGCTGTTTAGCATGGAAGTCTTGGATGAAGAGCTAAATGTTCCAACTCTTAGGCTTAGGCCAGTAAAGGGACAACCCATTACTTGAACTTGTAAATTGAGACAAGTGGCAGGCACCTGGCATCTAGGTCTGTTAAAGGTAACAGGATGACCAGAGTTTTAGGGACAGAACTTTAGATCCTAGGGCTAACAAGATACTGGGAGACATTTAGTTCTTCTAGGGAGTTTGGGCCACATGCTCTAGAGAGTTGTGCTGCTAACCCAAAGGCAGCTGTGTTTCTCTGACTGTTTGAATCAGTGTCTCCACATGAAAAAGATGAACAATCATCTCTCTCTATGTAATTTATAATCTCTAAAACCCCCCTGGAAGGTCAGCCTATGAGTTGATTCTGACTTAACATCAGTGAGTTTGAAGCTTTTTTTTTTTTTTTTTAGTTCTTCCACAATTAACCTGGGAACTGGCATCTTATCAGTGTGAGTCTTTAAAATAGAGAAAAAACCAGAACTTTTACCCAATAGATTGGCACATGAGAAGATCTGGTTTTTGGAGCCTGGGTGCAAACAATCCATTAACGGAAAACAAAAAGGAATACCTAGGGGCTGCTTTACAGCAAGATGACTCAAGACATACATACTAGGCACCAACATCCCATGACATGGATCATCCAACCAGGAGGGGTGGATGTTTCTAGTTGGAGGGATCTTTGGGATGGAAGGCAAAAACTGGTGAAGTGAGGCTGGGGTACAGAGTTTTGTGAGAATCCGAAGGGAAACTGAAACGTTAGTAGGTCTTTTTTCCCCCCATGGCAATAATGGTCATAAAAACATGAACCCAAAGACAAAAGAAAGCTAAGTAATCCCATTGGCTGAGTCTGGTAGAAAATAATGAAATAATTTGACCTTTAAGAAATGTGGGCTAGTAATAATCTTTGACAAAGACTGTAAACAGAGGAGGGAGTTGCTATAAACATAGCTAGCTCATTCATTTTGAGCATATTTTTAGTTAAGTAAACTTCTGATGGTCTCTGGTCACGTCCTTACATTTTATTTTAGAATCCTCTCAGGTGCTGGGTTGGCGTTCAGAGTGATGCAGTCAAACTACGGGTTATTGTAAGAGTTCAGCTTTTAACCACATGAAAGCCTGGGATGACAGAAGGCTAAAGTCAAACAGTTTAATGGAGAAGACTTTGAATTTTTACCCCTCATTGGCACAGAGACTTTTATTTTTTATATGTTAACTTTGAGAGTTTGGTTTAATTTTGTGGAAGAAAGAATGAAAAAGTTGCTTCTGGCAATTTGAAATACAGATTCTAAGAATCCCAATTTATTTTTGACATATAGAAATAACAGTTTTCAATGACTGAAAGAGGGAGAGCTGCTGCTGCTGCTGGTGGTGTGGTAAGAAGCTGTGCTGCAAACCCAAAGGCACACTGTTCATATCTACCAGTTACTATGGGGAGAAGGATGGGCAGTCTCCTCCTGTGTGATTGGTTCTGTCTCAAGGGCACACATCAACAACTGTTTCAATTACCTTACTTTTCCTACTTCAGGTGATAACCCTAGGTTTCAAAAAAATGAATTTGAATTTGTTCTCATTTCCAAATCAGTTTATTATTTTCTATGAATAGTGCAGGATGGTATAGAGTTCCCTTATTTATAGGGTTGCTACAGTTGTACTTGACTTGAAGGAACTTTCTTAACAACAACAACAAAGAAAATTTGTAATGAACATTTCAGTAATGCTGGTGTTGATTTTTTTCATGTCCTTTGGTGTAAGTTAAAAATTTATCTGTCTTATTTCCTACTGTAAACTTTGACTGGTGGTGACGGGCAAATGTGTGTATCATCTAAAAATATATTTGAGAATTTCGCTGAAATGAGATTTTTGTCTTTGCTTTAAATTGTCTTGGTTTGAAAAACAAACAATGGTTTGTGGTTGGCTTTTTGTTTTTGTTTGTTGGGGTTTTTTTTGTTTTGTTTTGTTTTTTTTAGGACAGACATTTGCAAAATCAATTAAAGAACTACTGAATTTATCTTTCCTTTATCCAATATCCAGAAAAGAAATTCTGGATTTTCTGGTCTTTAAGAAAAAAATTGGCTAAATTTTTGTGCTAAATTTTCAGTGATTTCTACTACTTATATGTGAACTCTGCCTATATACGAAAATGGTCTGTTTTAGGTTATGCTGTGGGCAGAGATTAATTGGTGAAAAATGGGCCTGTTTGTGGGATTTACCACACAGTAAGGTTTCTCATCTCCCTGGAAAAATGTGAAATTAGCTCTTTGAGAAATGCAGGTCTGTCATGAGGTTGAAGAGTGAGTTTGGGTGGAGGGGAACACAGTTCACCCTCTAAGGCAGTTATGATTGGTTAGATTCCAGAACAGCGGACTTTCAAGTCAGTGTTTCTTACATGCTGCTAGTTCCATCAGTATATTTTCAACAGATAGCATCTTTTGTGGCTTCTTTCAAAGGCAAGGGATCCAGACTGGTGAGGAGTGGTCTTGGGAAGGAGTCCTAAACCCTTTCATCCTTTCCTACTCTGGACCTCACAGGGAAGGCGAATAGTGAAAAAAGTCTCCAACTTGGAAAGATCATTGTGGCAGCAAATTCTCTATGCTGTGTTGGAGAAGCACACGGATCTGAGCCAGTGATCATGTATGACAAGAATGCAAAGTAGATCTGGTATGCTAATTCCTCACCTATGAAGGATGGTTCTTGAGGAAGATCTATCTAGTCACAAACATTTGGATAGTCCCAAGGGCGCTCTCCTTCTACCAGAGCCTCTGCAAGGGGCCTGGGCCTGCTGTGTAACCCCATAATCAGAGTGATGAGGAATTCTTCACCTTGCTCTTTGGGGTGTCTGGCCTTCACTAGGTCACAGAGTTCCGTTAGGATAGTTTAAGGGTGCATCCTAACCGAGGCTGAGGTCAGAAGTGTCACTCTCTCAGCTCTGCATCCCGCGCTAGGCAAGGCACTCCTCTAAACAAACCTCCTCTTTCACTTAGAGGAGCCAGGTTGGGTGTCAGTGACTTACCCTCAAGGGGGACTGGTACTCCTGAGGTTCCAGGAAGGCGGGCAGCTAAAGAGGACCCTGCCCACACCCGATGTGTCTTCGGGCAGCAGCGTCCTGCTCTGCTCGGCGGAGACTGGCTAAGTCGGCGGGATCTCTCGCCCGCGTTCCCGGCAGGCAGCCCGGCGGGCGGCTGAGCCCGTGGCGTCAGGCTCGGACGCGGGCGCGCGCGGGCGGCGGGCGTGGCGCGCGCCCAGCCCAGGGAACCGCGGGGGAGGAGCGCGCACCGCCCGCCCGCCCGCTGCTCGCGCGCCCAACGGACCAGGCTGGGGGCCCTGAGCTAACTGTTGCAGCCAGCAGGAGCTGGCAGGCGACGCCAAGTCTTCAATTTCGGGAGGCGGCCAAGGGAAAAAGAAGGGGCGTCTGAAACGGTCCGGCAGAGAAGCCCTTTCCTTCCGCGCCTCGCCTCAGCCCCAGAATGTCGCGGACTCCGCCGCTCCTGTGTCCGCGCGGCGAGGACCCCGGGCCGCGGCGGCGGGCGCCGCACTAACGCGCTGTGGAGTCGGGAAGCGCCCCAAACGCAAGGGGCTGGGGGTCCGGGCAGCTCGAACGGCCGCTGCGTGCGAGCGGGGCGTGCTGAGCCCCGCGGCCGCCCCTCGATCCCAGCCATGAGGAGGGACGAACGAGACGCCAAAGCCATGCGGTACCCGCAGCCTCCGGACGGGGCCGGCTCGCCCCCGGAGAGTCTGAGGAACGGCTACGTGAAAAGCTGCGTGAGCCCCCTGCGGCAGGACCCTCCCCGCGGCTTCTTTTTCCACCTCTGCCGCTTTTGCAACGTGGAGCTGCTGCTGCCGCCGCCGGGCTCCCCCCAGCAGCCGCGGCGCGGCTCCCCCTTCTCCGGGGCGCGCCTCTCGCTCGGCGCCCTGGCCGCCTTTGTCCTCGCGCTGCTGCTGGGCGCGGGGTCGGGGAGCTGGGCTGCGGGGGCCGCCCTGCTGCCCACTCTACTGGCCGTCTGCTCGCACAGCCTCAGCCCGCTCTTCAGCATCGCCTGTGCCTTCTTCTTCCTCACCTGCTTCCTGAGCCGGACCAAGCGGGGCCCCGGGCCGGGCCGGATCGGCGGCGGCGGCGCTTGGTGGTTGCTGGCGTTGCCCGCCTGCTGTTATCTGGGGGACTTGTTGGCGTGGCAGTGGTGGGCTTCGCCATCGGGGGACGCGCACGCCGAGCCCCCGTCTGGCCCGGCTCCGCACACGCCCCCGGCCGCGCCGGGCAGGTTGTTGTTGGTGCTGAGCTGTGCAGGGCTGCTGACGCTCGTGCACCCGGCGAGGCTTCAGCACAGCATCCTGGTGCTGCTCTTCTCCGCCTTCGTCTGGTGGGTCTCCGCCACCAGCCTGGGGTCGCTGCCCGCCGTCCTCAGGCCGCTGCTGTCCTGCCTGGTGGGCAGCGCCGGCTGCCTGCTGGCCCTGGGATTGGATCACTTTTTTCAAATCAGGGAAGCCCCTCATCATCCTCGGCTGTCCAGTGCCTCGGAGGACAAAGTGCCTGTGATCAGACCCCGGAGGAGGTCCAGCTGCGTGTCCCTAGGAGAGACTCCGGCCAGTTACTATGGCAGTTGCAAAATGTTCAGGAGACCCTCGTTGCCTTGCATTTCCAGAGAACAGGTATGTTACCAGGAAGGCAGCTTGGTTGTTCCCGAGCCAAGAACGAGCCTTTTCAAAGCATGTGCACCTTTCAGGATGGAATGAACATAAAATAAAAATGAAAGCATGTCTAAAACACACAAAGCTTTTTAGAAGTACAGACGCAGATGCTGTTTATCTTGGGCTAAAAACGAAATAGCGGTCTAATCCCATTGCACTTTTAAAAGACTTTGTTTGCCTGTGCGACAGACAAGTTGTCAAGAGTGTGGAGAACTATTTGTGGTTTACTTAGTAGATGCGCTGATGTGTATCTTTTTGGTGCCGTTTATCTGTTGCTGTGGGAGTGATGATTTCTCCCTAATGATAATTTAGAAGTTTAGCATGAATGTGTGGAACTGTAGATACTTCAATATAACGCACACATAGATGAGGTTTTTAGTGTGGTTTCATTATTACTAATAATAAACAGAGGGCAGTTAGGGATCTAATATTGGGAACGCTGATGAGCTTTTGACCTAAGACCTGTTAAGTTAGATGAAGAAATTGTTGGAAATAATTTTTAAAAAAATATTTTTTCAAGTTATTTCAGCAGCACAGGCTAATGCAATCTTTGACAGACTAACTCCTGGTTCTGTGTGTTTGTTGCATAATTAGGAGAATGGTTTAACAATTTAACCTTTAAACTTAGTAATGTCTGGAAAGAGGTCAAAGCATTTCTGATTTTTTCATTGGTTTAGAGGTTTCTGTTTTTTAAAGGAATTGAAGTCTTCATCAGGAAGGGAACTTAGCATTTATATAGCTTTGGGAAATCGACCTGTTTGACATTACCAAATTAGGTGCAATTAATTACTTTTTTTATTGCCTTTGCCCCTGTGGGTCTTGTAACTTCCACCAGATTACTGAGTGGAACTGTACCACATAGACTTGTGGCCCACCAAAGGTATTGGATAGCTTTCAGTAATGCAAGTAAGATGCATGGCAATCTTATGGAAGTGAATTAGTGTAAATAAGCTGTATGAAACTCTAATGCGAAGACTGGTCAGTTTTGCCATCCATTTGGACTTTAATATAACCATGCCAAAGGAAGCCCTCACTACCACTTAGAAAGGTGAGCTAGAGTGGAACATTTCCTTTGGACCTGGGATTCTTGAACTGAGAACCTCTTAAACCCAGAAGACAGTAAGGAAAAGAGCAGTAACATCAGGGATGAGAGGCAGGGACAGAAAATGATGGCAGCAGAGGTAGCAGGACCAGGAGATTAACAGAAAATAGTGCAGTGGGCTTCCTGTCCTATAGAGAAGACTGGGAGCCTTTGGGCAGGAGGCTTGCTTCTTGGAGTGGGCTTCTTCTGAATACGTGTCACAGCCAGGCTCACCAGCCTGCAGAGCGAGTGAGCTGAGTGCCTTCCCACTGAGATTTAATGGCATAGTAGGGTGACCCTGAGCACTTATTGGTAGAACTTTAGCACTTGTCCAAAAAGGGCAGAGGCCAGGCTGACCCCAGAGATCTAAGCGAGGCCTGCAGATGGCAGGCAAAGAAGCTGTCCTGACAGAAGAGCTGACTAGTTTTCTGATTCTGACTTGTAACCAGTTAAATCCCTAACAGGCCCCATAATCATGAGTATTGTTTGTGAGTTTTGCATAGCCATTGCAGAATTAGCAAGCACAAGCAGAGAAGTTGAGAGGGCCATGTGAGGGACTATTGCTGTCAGATTTGGCAGAAATGTTTGGATAGAGGAGTATATCTGACCTGCATACACTTCATAAGAATGAGCCTTGACCTGATGATGGTGATTTTCTCTCCTCCTGGTAATATTGGAAGGAGTCAGACACTTCTGACATGCTATTTTTTACACAAGGAACTTAAGTATAGCCACTATTCATTAAGTGCAAAACACTTAACATATATTATCTGAACTCTTCACAAGACCCTTGTATATTCTGTCTTAGTAGATGACACTAGCTTCATTTTAAACACAAGGAAATTGAGGTTTATTGAGATTACCCAGGGAGCTCCGGTGGCATAGTCCACTAGGAGTTGAGTTAACCCAAAGGCAGAGTGTCTGGTGATTTGAATCCGCTAGTGGCTTAGCAGGAAGAAGAGAGGCAGTCTCCTCCAATAAGGTTTAGTGACTTGAGTCCTGCAGCAGAATCAGCCACAAGTGGATTCCAGCTTAACAGCAATGAAGAAGAGTTTACCCAGTTTTGCGTACCTAGTAGGCAGAATTTTGAACACACACCCCCCCCCCCTTTATTTTAAGTTCTCAGTGCTTGGTTCTTTGCAACAGAAACATTTTGTACATTTTAAATAGGACCCTACTAGTGCTATTAGTTTTCAGACTTTTTGGTTAATATGTTTTACACTTGAGATCCAGTACATTAGAAACAAGTTTTTTAGCCTTTCCAAATCTAATGCTACCTTCTCTCCCCTAGCGTCCTTTTCAAAGCAATCATCAAGCTTCTACATTGGTTTTTATCACTTGGTTGCTTAATCAAAACCCTCAAACCAGTTAAGCACTGATCTGTTGTGTTCTTATAACACTTTCCTTCTTTAAATGGCTTTAGAGGCCACTCTTGTGGTCTGTCATTATTTGCCCAAAGGGTTTGAAAATGTTATGCTTTTTGTTTTCTTAGTTTATTACTAATAACTGAAAATCCTTAGAAAAAAGTGTTTCAGAATAGTTATGAGAAGACTCACATAAAGTGGAGCAAAGTAGTACCAGTTGCTTTTATAGAATGACACAGTGTTTTAGGAGTTTCATCACATGTGTAGGCAATTTTCATGTATTTAACATTACAATTTAACATATTTTGATGGTAATTTGTTTGTATAATTTGTTATGTCTGTCTTTTTGCAAATTGAAATTCCTACGTTTCCTAGTTCCAGTGTTGTGCTTTTTCCATCCCAGCAACTTTTCAGCCTTACTAGAACATAGTGTTGTTGTTCTTGGTAGCTTCATCTTTTATCTGTAGTGGAGGCGGGGGGGGGGGGGATTTAATTTGTGTTTATAAAAGGCATATTAGTACAGAAAAATCCGACATTATACTTTGAGTGGAGCATTTCTGTGGGCCTTAAAATATATGCTGTTAGTTTAGGAGGTTACTCATGGTTATTTAGTCTGTAAGGAGTCTTGGTAGTGTACTGTGTTGTGTGTTAGGTTACTTATGTGAGAGGTGGGCATTTGAGTCTACCAGATGCGCAGCCTCTTTCTGTAACAATATACAGCCTCAGAAGCCCTGTGAGGTTTGCTGTTAGTCGGGATTCACCTGAGGGCAATGGATTTGGGATGCCCTTTGTTTGTTTTGGTGCTCTAGTAGTTAAAACACTTGGATCCAAGTGTATTTGTTTTCAAGAAGAGCAGTTCAAACCTACTGGCTGCTCAGTGGGAGAAGGATGCGACAGCCAGCCTGTTTTCTGTAAGCGCTGACATCCTCGCAAAGCCAGTGAAGCAGTTCTACTTTGTCCCATAGGACATGAGTTGAAATTGACTTGAAGTCTGGGTTCTACTTAATATTTAGTGTCACAAAATACTCTATTGGCATTTAAATAATAGTTTTTAACTTAGTAGAGATTGTATTAACAAGAATTTTCACTTATGTTTGTTCTTTATGAAGTTTAACAGTGGAGCTGTGCTTTTATTTGCATTTCCATAATAGCTAAGGAAATTAAGATGAAATTAGTACTTTTATGGAAGAAGAAGATAAAGAAAATATCTAATTTTCAAGGGTGGTAGCCTAGTGGTAAGAAGTTGTGCTGTAATCTGCAAGGTCCACAGTTTGAGGCCACCAGCTGCTCTGTGAGAAATGGATGGACCATCTCCTCCCGTGTGATTAACTTCCTCTAAAACCTCCTGGAGAGTCAGCTATGGGTGCATTCTCACTTAAGGGTACACAGTAACAATGTTTCATATAAAACAGTTGTATTACCTCAAAATAGAAAGGAAAATGAAAAGATCTGGAGTAGGAACTGAGGTAGGAGAAAATGTCCTGAATTCATAGGCAAGAAAATTGAGTGGGGATGGTGATGGGACACAGGGATGGATGGGAAAGTGTCAAGTTTTGACTCTTACTATGTTACCTTGGAAGAGCTAATAACCTTTCTCAGCATTGATATCCTATCAGATCTAAAAGGTGAATTCTTTTGAAATACCTTTCAATTAAAAAATGAACTAAAAATTTTTGTTAGTTTATACTTTTTTGCAACATGTAAATAAAATGATGAATAAAATGTCATAAATTGTTACATGTCAGGTGTGGTCAAGTTTGCTGTGACTCAAAGCTCTCCTGTGTATAATAGAACAAAACACAACCTCATCCTTAGTCTCTGCTGTGATCAAGCTGTTCTTGTAGTTAGTGCCTCTTGAGGGACTTCAGCTTTTTCTCTGACCCTTCTCTTTGCCAGGGACTGGCCCTTCTTGATTACATGCCCACAGTAGGTGGGAACAAGTCTCACAATCTGCTTCTGTGGAACACTCTGGTTACACTTTGTTGAGATAGATGTATTTTTTTGTTTTTTTTTTTTGACAGTCCATGCCAGGTCACTTGTCCATTACTTTGTCCTTGTATGGTGGCGTATGTATTACTGTGGAGTTGGAAGTTTTGCTACCAGGATATCAAATGCTATTAGTATTACCCATGGTGGAAAGGTTTCTTTGGAGTGTCTGGACTAAGGAAGAATAGGAAGCAGGCCTGACTATCAATTTTTTAAATAACGGGCCTTTAAAAACCCTTCTGATAACCTCAGAAAACTGTCACAAAGTAGGAGTTCTTGAAATTGTACCCAAATTTGGAATACTTCTATCACTAACCTAAATTTTCCAAGGTTTAATAATTGGGAGCATGAAGAATTAGTCTTTATTTTCTGGATAGAACTTTTCTTTAAAAAAGTGTAGCACGTGACAGAGTAAAAAAGAGTGTTGTTGTTGTTTTAAGTACCTTCTAGTTGGAACTAGACCCAGAGCTGACCCTCTGGCAGGTTTTCAGAGTCAGTTAATCCTATAGGAGGAGATTTCCCATCCTTTT